CAGTGAGCCAAGATCGTGCCACTGTACTCTAGCCTGGGTGACAGAGCAAGACTCCATCTCAAAAAAAAAAAAAATTTTTGGCAATTCACAACGTGTACATATACCAAAACATAATATTGTACACCATAAGTATATACAATTTTAACTTGTCAATTAAAAAGAGAAAATCAAAACACCATCATCATTTAAAAAGAGCTAAATAAAAACAATTCATTGGTGAAGCTGGGACAAGAATTAAGTTTTCAAAGAAGTGGGGGAAAGATCTAACAGTACTACACAGACAGGAATATTTTATGATTGTGAACAGAGCTCCTGCTGCTACAGCTCTCTGGATCCTCTGGGACTTCTCTACCATGATGAATTACTCAATCAAAATTAAAGATCTCTTATCTAACTCCTGGTGTAAAGGCGATATTCAGTTTATAGCACCATTAATGAAATACTTTGCCAGAAATATTTAACCTGTACCTATTCAAGCTTTTAGATGTCACTTCCAGTTTATAGAATATAGATTACAGGATCAAGTCGAACATGAAGAAGAGATAATTATACGAATCCAGAACCAAGAATATTCCAAATGTTAATGTCAGAGGAAAGCAAAGGAACATTCTAGATTAAAAGATAAAAAACAAGGCCGGGCCCGGTGGCTCATGCCCATAATCCCAGCACTTTGGAAGGCCGAGGTGGGTGGATCATTTGAGGTTAGGAGTTCAAGACCAGCCTGGCCAACATAGCGAAACCCTGTCTCTACTAAAAATACAAAAAAATTAGCCGGATGTGGTGGCACGTGCCTGTAATCCCAGCTACTTGGCAGAATCGCTTGAATCTGGGAGGTTTGAACCAGGGAGATGGAGGTCGCAGTGAGCTGAGATCACGCCACTGCACTCCAGCTTCAGTGACAGAGCGAGACTCCATCTCAAAAATAAGAAAAAAAAGAAAAAGATCAAACAAAATGCATTGTATAAAATTTCATTGGATCCCAACACACACAAAAAAATCTAGCTGTAAAATATGTATTTGGTGAATAACTGAAGAAATTTTAATACGGTCTATATAGTGGAGTGGGAATTTTTTGTTAATTTTCTTTCTTTTTTTTTTTTTTGACAGAGTCTTGCTCTGTCGCCAGGCTGGAGTGCAGTGGCATGATCCCAGCTTACTGCCACCTCCACCTCCCAGGTTCAAGCGATTCTCCTGCCTCAACCTCCAGAGTAGCTGGAGCTATAGGCACGTGCCACCACGCCCAGCTAATTTTTGTATTTTTAGTAGAGACAGGGTTTCACCATGTTGGCCAGGATGGCCTCGATCTCTTGACCTCATGATCCGCCTGCCTCAGCCTTCTAAAGTGCTGGGATTACAGGCGTGAGCCACTGCGCCCGGCGTGTTAATTTTCTTAGTAGAGATCATGTTGTAGTAAGTGGAGAATGACATTCTCTTTCTCTTCCAACATGGCCTCTCCATGAGACTAGTCTGGACTTCCTCCTAGCACAGTGGGCTCTGGGTAACTAGACTTCACACGTGGCTGCTGACTTCCCAGGGTGACAGTGGAGGCTCCATAGTTTCTTAAAGGGTAAGGTTAAAGCAAGCTGCAAGGCCAGCCCAAGTGGAAGGGAAGCAGAGGTAGATCCCACTTCATGATGAATGGAACAACTCATGCTTACAAAAAGGGAAGGAATTGATAGGGGCCATCTTTGGAGACTATCTACTCCCCAGTGCCAAGGACCTGATTAAACATATCAAGAGGTTGAATGAAAGCTTTGCCCTCCACAATACATGAGAAATCCTGACACTGAAAATATGTTTCTATTATAAATAAGAAAAATGTAGAGAGTTCACATTAAAGAGAGTCAATAAGCATTTAGTGTATAGAACATTTAGGTTCTTTTCCTTATATGCAAGGAATTTATCATCTACGAGGCAAAGGTAGAAATATGCAGGTGTAAAACATGTAAGAGCAAGGATTAGGATATTATTCCCTAGAAAATATCTGACTTTAGATCTATTACCATTTTCAGCTTCCCCTCCCTCACTTTGAACAGTATTTGAGGAGTGAATCCCAGAAATGAAGCTGTATTTTACTGATTTTTGCATTCCTACCAATGTTTTGAGAATCTGGCACACAATGAGCACCCAATGTTTGTTGAATTCAATGAGTGAATCGTATCTATCATACAAACTGTTATCCATTCAGGAGTGGGAATTTTAGGAAATACACAAGGGCTACAGCAAATTCATATACCTGTCATAATTGAAAAATGAGCTGTTCTGGTTCACAACTCTGTAGAATAGAACCATGAGCCCAGTAATAAGAAACAACTTGATCTCAATAGTCAAAATAGGTACTGCAAATCCAGGTTGAAAAGTTCCTATGCTTAAGTAAAAACCTCTCAGATTCACTTAAGGAAGGGTTTATAGGTGGGTTGAAGACTCGATAGTTTCAAGATCCTTGTCCTATCTCAATCTTCCATCTGGGACATGACTGGGAAGGGGTACTGGCTAATGCATACACAGGTGCTTACAACTTTTATATAATACTTTGGGTGGTGTTATGGCTGAATCATGTCCTCCTCAAGTTCATTTTTTGAAGCCCTAATCCCCAGTGTGACTGTAATTGGAGACACGGCCTTTAGAGTTAAAGGAGGTTGGAAGGGTGGAGGCCTAATTCAATATGGCTGGGGTCCTTATAAGAAGAGAAAGAGACAGCAGGGATGTGCATGCAGAGAAAAGACCCTGTGAGGATATGGACGTACGGCAGTTGTCTCCCTGGTCTTGGACTTCCAGCCTCCAGAACGGTGAGCAAATAAATTTCTGTTGTTTAAGCCACCCAGGCTGTGGTATTTTGTAATGGCAGTCCTCACAATCTAATAAAGCTGGCAAACAAAACATTCAGGTAAATGTGCTCTTTCATATTACACAGGCTTTTTAAAACAGTAAAATAATTGCAACTTGGAAAATAACAGAATATAAAAACATTTACCTACCACTCGGATTTTAACAAATGTGGACATCTTGTCATATTTGCTTCAGATATTTTTTTAACTTTAAGAAATAAATTTGGTTTTGTTTTTGTTTTTTTGAGACGGAGTCTTGCTCTGTTGCCCAGGCTGGAGTGCAGTGGTGCAATCTCAGCTCACTGCCATCTCCACCGCCAGTTCAAGCGATTCTCCTTAGTGTCCCAAGTATCTAGGATTACAGGTATGTGCCACCACACCTGGCCAATTTTTGTATTTTTAGTAGAAACAGGTTTTCACCATGTTGATCAAGCTGGACATTTGTGGGTTTTTTGTTTTGTTTTGTTTTTGAGAAGGGGTCTTGTTGTGTCACCCAGACTGGAGTATAGTGGCATAATTACTGATCACTGAAACCTCTGCCTCTGCCTCCTAGGCTCAGGTGATTCTCCCATATCAGCCTCCTGAGTAGCTCAGACCACAGGTGCACACCACCATGCCCAGCTAATTTTTTGTATTTTTGGTAGAAACAGGGTTTCACCATGTTGTCCAGGCTGGTCTTGAACTCCTGGGCTCAAGCAATCTGCCTGCCTCCCTCCCAAAGTGCTGGGATTACAGACGTGAGCCACTGCGTACAGCCCAGAAATAACATTTTATACTTTTATACTTAAAACTTTATATTTTGGTACCCTTTGGGTCTGCTTCCATACTGTCCTAGCCCAGAGGTAATCACAATTCTGAAGAAGGAAACCATTCCTGTCCACGTATTTATATACTTACATATATGCAAATGTCAAAAAGCAACAGATATAGTATTGCTTTGTATTTACATGAGTGACATGGTTAAATATTTGTGCAAGTTTTTTCCTTCAACATTGTTTTGAGGTTTACGTACACAATTTGATACATGTAGCTATAGTTGATTTATTTTCACTGTTCTATAGTCTTCCATTGTATGAGCACACAATTTACTTATCCATTTTCCGCTGACGGATCTTCAGGTTGTTCTCAATGTTTCAGTGTTATAAACACCACGGCATGGAACAACCTTGCATATGTCTGCTTGCATGCATTAGTACCACAGGGTATTTGCACCTTCAGTTGTACCAGATATTGCTCTCCAGAATGAGGCTGAGGTAGGTAGATCACTTGAGTTCCGGAGCTTGAGAACAGCCTGCGCAACACGGTGAAACCCTGTTTCTACTAAAAATACAAAAAAACTTAGCCAGATGTGATGGTGGGTGCCTTTAGTCCTAGCTACTTTGGGGGCTGAGGCAGGAGGATCACTTGAACCTGCGAGGTGGAGGCTTCAGTGAGCCAAGATTGCACCACTGCACTCTAGCTTGGGTGACAAAGTGAGACCCTACCTCAAAAAAAAAAAAAAAAAGGACTGTACCAATTGTCAGGGTTTAAAATTTCCCCAAATCTGATCCATTTGAAATGGTAAATCATTTTTTATTACTGTGTGAAGGATAATCCACATACAATGAGCTGTACAATTTAATGGTCTTTCACAAATGTCTTCACTTGTGAAACCAGAACCATGATCAAGATAAAAACATTTCCAGGGGCCAAGATGGCTGACTAGAAACAGCTGCAGTCGGAAGCTCCCACTGAGAAGAAGAAAAACGGCAACTGAGGTATCCAGGTTCTCTCCTTGGGACTGGCTAGGAGGTTGGTGGGACCCATGGAGGCGGGTAAAAGCAGGGTGGTGCGACAGTCCACCTGGGAGCCACATGGGGTAAGGGGAGCTCCCACCCGTCTAAACCCAAAGAATGGACTTAGAGGCATGAAGAACAGCGCAAGTGAGACTTTTAATAACAGTCTTGCAAGAGTGGGTGTCTGGTGAGCAGGCACATCCAGGGCAGTCGCAACAGGTAATTTATCTCCTAGCAGCAAGTCCCTCCCCCAGTTCCTCATTTGTTGAGTACTATGGGGTTACAATCTTCCCAGAAGTCACCTAAGTTTCATTATCCCTCTTACAAGGTTATACCCCGTCCCCTTCTCCGCTTCAGTTTTGATTTCCCAATAACGAAACTGTCTTCTCTCTCTCTCTTTTTTCTTTCTTTCTTTTGTTTTTGTTTTTTTTTTTTTTTTAACGAATGAGGCAATTTATTAACCCAGCATGGTTTGTTCTAATGCTTCTTGTTGGCAGCTGCCACCTGCCCGGCGATTCTGTCCAGATCTCTCTGTCCCTGAGGTGTCAGTTTGCGGCCCCCATCTTGGTCCTTTTCCACCATTTTCAGCCCCTCCAGGGCTTGGAGGACCCGGCGAGCCACACTCTTGGAGCCTCGGCTGACGTGGCTGGGCATGACGCCGCTTCTCCGACGTCCCCCATAGATCTTGGTCATGGAACCAACCCCAGCGCCACCCCCGAGGTAGAGGTGCCGCGCTGTGGAAGCAGCTCGTGTGTAGAACCAGTTCTCATCATGGGGAGCAAGCTCTTTGTGCTTGACTAGCTTGACGGTGTCAAGTCCCCATTCGGGGACTTTCAGCTTCCTGGACTTTTTGAGGAAGGCTGCCAGAGCTCTGACGAACTCCTGCTGGTTCACGTCTTTTACGGTAACTCCAGGCATCGTGCGGCCTCCGAGGTGCCAGCCAGGGGAAAGGGAACTTTCTTCTCTCTTATGGGTTGACCCTCCTCTACATTCTGTTCGCTTATTGTGACCTTCTAGGTGCATGAGCCATGCGGTTTGTCACATTTGCAGACTGGCTGCCATACTTAGATTTATCATGCCTTGAAAATGGACCATTTAAAATATTTTATCACAGAAAACCACACTTTTTCCATGGATCTGTGCAAGCTGCAGATCAGAAGGTCCCCCTTGTGAGCCCATGCCACCAGGGCCTTGGGTCCCAAGCATGGTGCTGTACAGATTCTCAGTGACCACTCGGCTGGAGACTGCTGAAGACTACTGAGCTACTGAGTTCCGGGTCGGGGGAGGCGGGGAGCCATCATCCCTGCGGCTGCCTTTGGCCTAAGATGACTGAGCTGCTTGGGGGAGGGGCGGCAGTCACCACTGCAGCTTTAGTCTGCAATTTGGATCCATGAGGAATTTTCCACAGTGCAGCACAGTGGTTGTGGTCGATTGTGGCCAGACTGCCTCTTTAGGCCGGACCCCTGACCTATCCCTCCTCACTAGGTGGGGCCTCCCTGCCGGAATTTCAGCAACTTCAGCCAGGTGTTTATGGACAAAACTCTAATCTTCCTGGGACGAAGCCCCATGTGGAGAGGGATGGTCACGGTCTCTGGATCAGCTGACTCAGTCTTTCTGCCAGCTGGCTCTGAGAAATCCAGGCAGTCCAGATGAGTGGGCTTCCCCACAGCACAGTGCACCATCTCCGCTAAGGGGGCAGCCAGAGTGCTTTGTTAAACAGGTCTCTGATCCTGTACCTCCTGACTGGGTGAGACCTCTCAACAGAGGTTGCCAGACACCTTATGCAAGAGCATTCCTGCTAGTATTAACTTGGTGCCCCTCTGGGACAGAGCTCCCAGAGAAAGGAGCAGGCAGCCATCTTTGCTATTCTGCAGCCTCCACTGTTGACACCTTCAGGTCCAGGAGGGACCCAGGAAAATAGGGTCTGGAGTGGACCCCCAGCAAATTGCAGCAGCCCTATGGAAGAAGGGCCTGACTGTTAAAAGAGAAACAAGCAAACAGAAAACAACAACAACAATGGCATCAACAAAAAAGTCCCCACAAACCTCATCCCAAGTTCAGCAGCCTCAAAGATCGAAGCTAGATTAACTCACAAAGATGAGAATCAATGAAAAATTGCTGAAAACTAAAAAATCCAGAGTGCCTCTTCTCCTTCAAATGATTGCAACGCCTCTCCACCAAGGGCACAAATTTGGGCAGAGGCTGAGATGGATAAATTTGACAGAAGCAGGCTTCAGAAGGTGGGTAATAACAAACTTCACTGAGCTAAAAGAGCATGTTCTAACCCAACGCAAAGAAGCTAAGGACCATGCTAAAACAATACAGGAGTTGTTACCAGAATAAGCAGTTTAGAGAGGAACATAAATGACCTGATGGAGCTGAAAAACAACACGGGAACTTCACAATGCAGCCACAAATATCAATAGCCAAACAGAGCAAGTGGAGGAAAGAATTTCAGAGCTTGAAGATTATCTTGTTGAAATGAGACAGGCAGACAAAATTAGAAAAAAAAAAAAAAAAAAGAATGAAAAGGAACAAATAAAATCTCCAAGAACTATGGGATCATGGAAAAAGACCAAACCTACAACTGACTAGAGTACCTGAAAGAGACAGGAAGAATGGAACCAAGTTGGAAAACATACTTCAGGATATCATCCAGGAGAACTTCCCCAACCTAGCAAGACAGGCTAACATTCCAATTCAGAAAATCCAGAGAATTCCTGTAATATACTCCATGAGAAGATCAACCCCAAGACACACATTTATTTACCTCCAAGGTCAAAATGAAGGAAAAAATGTTAAGCACAGCCAGAGAGAAAGACCAGGTCACCTACAAAAAGAAGGCCATCAGTCTAATCGTGGACCTCTCAGCAGAAACCCTAGAAGCCAGAAGAGATTGGGGCCCAATATTCCACATTCTTAAGGAAAAGAATTTCCAACCCAGAATTTCATATCTGCCTAAATTAAGCTTCATAAGTGAAAGAGAAATAAAATCCTTTTCAGACAACCAAATCCTGAGGCAATTCATCACCTCCAGGCCTGCCTTGCAAGAGCTCTTGAAGGAAGCACTAAATATGGAAAGGAAAAACCATTAACCGCCACTACAAAAACACACTGAAGTACAAAAACCAATGACACTATGAAGCATATACATCAATAAATATGCAAAATAGCCAGCTAGCATCATGATGACAGGATAAAATTCACACATAACAATATTAACCTTAAATGTAAATGGGCTAAATGCCCCAATTAAAAGACACAAAATGGCAAGCTGGATAAAGAGTCAAGACCCATCAGGTGCTATATTCAAGAGACCCATCTCACATGCAAAGACACACATAGGCTCAAAATAAAGAGATGAAGGGAAATTTACCAAGCAAATGGAAAGCAGAAAAAAGCAGGAATTGCAATCCTGGTTTCTGACACAACAGACTTTAAACTAACAAAGATCAAAAAAGATTAAGAAGGGCATTACATAATGGTAAAGGGTTTAATTCAACAAGAAGAGCTAACTATCCTAAATATATATTCACCCAACACAGGAGCACCCAGATTCATAAAACTAGTTCATAGTTATTTTATTATTTATACGTACAAAGAGACTTAGACTCTCACACAATAATACTGGGAGAATTTAACATCCCACTGTCAATATTAAACAGATCATTGAGACAGAAAATTAACAAAGAGACTCAGGACTTAGACTCAGCTGTAGATCAAGTGGACCTGATAGATACCTACAGAACTCTCCACTAAAAACAACAGAATATATTCTTCTCAGTGCCACGTGGCACTAACTCTAAAATCGATCACATAATTGGAAGTAAAACACTCCTCAGCAAATGCGTAAGAACTGAAATCATAACAAACAGTCTCGCAGACCAAGCACAATCAAATTAGAACTCAAGATTTAAAAACTCACCCAAAACCACACAACTACATGGAAACTAAACAACTTGTCCTGAATGTCTCCTGGGTGATTAATGAAATTAAGGCAGAAATCAAGAAGTTCTTTGAAACCAAGGAGAACAAAAAGACAACGTTCCAGAATCTCTGGGATGCAGCTAAAGCAGTGTTAAGAGGGAAACGTATAGCAGTAAATGTCCACAACAAAAAGCTAGAAAGATCTCAAATTGACACTGTAACATCACAACTAAAAGAACTAGAGAACTGAGAGCAAACAAACCCTAAAGCTAGAAGAAGACAAGAAATAACCAAAATCAGACTGGAACTGAAGGAGATGGAGACACAAAAAATCCTTAAAAAAAATCAACTAACCCGGAAGCCGGTTTTTTGAAAAAATTAATAAAATAGACTACTAGCTAGACTAGCAAACAAGAAAAGGAGGAGAATCAAATAGACACAATAAAAAATGATAAAGGAGATATCACCACTGACCCCACAGAAATGCAAGCAACCATTAGAGAATACTATAAACACCTCTATGTGAATAAACTAGAAAATTTAGAAGAAATGGATAAATTCCTGAATATATACACCCTCCCATGACTGAACCAGGAAGAAGTTGAATTCCTGAATAGAACAATAACAAGTTCTGAAACTGAGGCAGTAAGAAATAGCCAACCAACCAAAAAAAGCCCAGGACCAGATGGATTTACAGTTGAATTCTACCAGAAGTATAAAGAGAAGCTGGTACCATTTCTTCTGAAATTATTCCAAACAATTGAAAAGGAGAATATCCTCCCTAACTCATTTTATGAGGCCAGCATCATTCTGATACCAATACCTGGCAGAGATACAACAAAAAAAGAAAACTTCAGGTCAATATCCCTGATGAACATTGATGCAAAAATCCTCAACAAAATACTAGCAAACTAAATCCAGCAGCAAATCAAAAAGCTTACCTACCATGATCAAGTTTGCTTCATCCCTAGGATGCAAGGCTGGTTCAGTGTATGCAAATCAATAAACATAATTCATCACATAAACAGAACTACAGACAAAAATCACATGATTATCTCAATAGATGCAGAAAAGGCCTTCAGTAAAATTCAGCATCCCTTCATGTTAAAAACTCTCAATAAACTAGGTATTGATGGAACATACCTCAAAATAATAAAAGGCATTTATGACAAACCCACAGCAATATCATACTGAACGGGCAAAAGCTGGAAGCATTCCCCTTGAAAACCAGCACAAGACAAGGATGCCCTCTCTCACCACTCCTATTCGACATAGTATTGGAATTTCTGGTCAGGGCAATCAGGCAAGAGAAGAAATAGAGTATTCAAATAGGAAGAGAGAAAGTTAAACTGTCTCTGTTTGCAGATGACATGATCCCATACCTAGAAAACCCCATCGTCTTGGCCCAAAAGCTTCTTAAGCTGATAAGCAACTTCAGCTAAGTCTCAGAAAACAAAATCAATATACAAAAGTCACATGCGTTCCTGTCCAAAAACCATAGACAAGCAGAGAGCCAAATCATGAATGAACTCCCATTCACAATTGCTACAAGGAAAATAAGATACCTAGGAATACAGCTAACCAAGGAAGTGAAGGACCTCTTCAAGGAGAACAACAAACCACTGCTCAGGGAAGTCAGAGAGGACACAAACAAATGGAAAAGCATTCCAAGTTTATGGATAATAAGAATCAATATTGTGAAAATGGCCATACTGCCCAAATTAATTCATAGATTCAAAGCTATTCCCATTCAACCACCTCAGACCTTCTTCACAGAATTAGAAAAAACTACTTTGAAATTCATATAGAACAACAACAACAACAAAAAGCCCGTGTAGTCAAGACAATCTTAAGCAAAAAGAACAATACTGGAGGCATCATATTACTCAACTTCAAACTCTACTGCAAGGCTATAGTAACCAACACAGCATGGTACTGGTACAAAAACAGACACATAGGCCAATGAAACAGAATAGAGATCTCAGAAATAAGACCACACATCTACAACCATCTGATCTTCAACAAATCTGACA